CAACTGCCTGGAGATGCTGGCCGTGTTTCTAGCATTGAAACACTTTCTCCCAGACCTAAGAGGTTGCCATGTGTTGGTGCACCGACGACACAGCGGCGGTTTCTTAAATCAACCACCAGGGAGGTCTGCGTTCGCGCTCCCTTTACAGGCAGGTGCACCAGATCCTTCTGTGGTCCCAGGGCAAACTCCTCTCGCTGAGAGTAGTTCACATTCCTTGGCATCTTAATATGGGAGTAGACATCCTGTCGAGGCAGGGGCCTAGGCCCGGGTAATGGAGACTTCACCCCGAGGTGGTGAAGCAGATATAGAGAGTTTTTGGCCAGGCTCAGGTGGACCTGTTTGCGACTCGAGAGACATCGCACTGTCCCCTCTGGTCCTCTCTGACTCATCCAGCTCCTCGTCCGCCACTTCAGGGCACCGACCTAGCCGCTCTAAGTGCACCAGAGGCCAGTCTTGAGAGACTGGTTCCCTTAGTAGGTCACCTGGCAGTGTGGGAGCCCCTGCCAAGCGTGTCTCATTGGGTCCTGCCCCGAGCAGGCTCTGATTCTCTCAGTCTAGTCTTCCTAGGAGATGACGTGGGTCTGAGGACCATCGTAAACGCGGACTTGGCAATCCTGCATCTAACAAGAGCTACCAGAGTCAGCTTTGACTGATCACAGGTCGAGAATAAGGAGAGATGACTGACAAGACCATGCTGGAGTATTTGCTGCTCAACAGATTCTGAGCTTATTGACAAATATCTGATCTTGAAAGATGGGCTTGCTCTCTTTACGCAGGGTGCGTGTGATCGCGAAATCGAAAGTGAAAGTAAACGCATTTTTGTAGGTTCAAAAAGAGCATGTATGGTCACCCTAATTTATTGCTAAACGATGTATTCTTTTTAAAATAGCATATAGAACATATTTTCTGCCTCATTCTGTGACAAGAAGCCTCATTAGATCACAAAAGGAAGCATTTGACTGGTGTTGTGGAGTAAAAAGGTTATAATTTTCTCTTTTGTTGGACAACAGGTTTAGAAATGTGAATACAAGGGAGGTTTAGCTTTAGGCATTTTAATTTAAGCATGTTTAGATTAGTTAACGGAAGGCTACCTGCTGCCATCAGAACAAGTGTAATTACTGCATTCACGCACTCCTCGGATGCTCTCATTTCCCGAGTTTTAAGTCGGAATGTGAAAACAACATGGACCGTCTCGTTACTACAAAGATGTGTTGAATTTGTATTATTAGAGCTTTCTGACTTGAGTTCACGTGCATTTTCTCAGTCGGGAAATTATTTTTCACGTGCGGTGCCAGTGATGATGCTCCTTACGTCCGTTTTCGGAGAACCAGAGGACAAATATTTAATTCGATCGCTCAGGCATGGCACTGAAATAAGGCACAGAAATCTGCGTTCGGATTCGGTACTAGTACATAGTTTCGGTACCCAACCCTAGTTATGAGTGGCCGCTCAGCCCGTGGTCTGTGGAGCAGCCGCAATCTCACGTGGCACTTCAACTGCCTGGAGATGCTGGCCGTGTTTCTAGCATTGAAACACTTTCTCCCAGACCTAAGAGGTTGCCATGTGTTGGTGCACCGACGACACAGCGGCGTTTTCTTAAATCAACCACCAGGGAGGTCTGCGTTCGCGCTCCCTTTACAGGCAGGTGCACCAGATCCTTCTGTGGTCCCAGGGCAAACTCCTCTCGCTGAGAGTAGTTCACATTCCTTGGCATCTTAATATGGGAGTAGACATCCTGTCGAGGCAGGGGCCTAGGCCCGGGTAATGGAGACTTCACCCCGAGGTGGTGAAGCAGATATAGAGAGTTTTTGGCCAGGCTCAGGTGGACCTGTTTGCGACTCGAGAGACATCGCACTGTCCCCTCTGGTCCTCTCTGACTCATCCAGCTCCTCTCGGACTGGACGCTGTGGTACAGACGTGGCCGAGGCTTCGTATGTATGCCTTTTTCCCCGATCGCTCTGCTCCCGGGAGTTCTGGAGAGAGTGTGCCAGGACGGGGCACAACTCGCAGCTTCCTGTCTCTCAACTGAGGTTGTTGAGACCATTCTCCAAACCAGAGCTCCCTCTACAAGGAAACTGTATGCCTTGAAGTGGAATCTTTTCACTTCTTGGTGCGGAGACCGCCAGCTCGACCCAGTTTACTGCCCAGTTGGTACAGTGCTGGAGTTCCTGCAGGCCCGTTTCTCTGCAGGGTTGACCCACTCCACCTTGAAAGTCAACGTGTAGGTGGCCAGTCAGTGGGCAGACACCCCCTAGTTACACGTTTCCTCCACGGTGCGCTGAGGCCTCTGGCCAGAGAAGCTTATGCTAAGCGGTGGATCAGGATGCTTTTTCTTAGCCTCGAGTCCTCTGATCTCCCCTCTCCTTTAGGGGTCAAGACTCACTCCTTCTGAAGTTGGTCTTCGGGACACTGCGGGATGTCCCCGCCTATTTTCTCAGGTGCCTTCCTGCATTCTGCACCACTCCTGGCTCCTTTCTCTCGCCTTAGCTGTGCTCTTCCACACTAGGCAGGGATTTGTAAGTCTGGCCGCGTGGGCATACTCGTTCCCAAAGCGTTTTCCGACGCAGCTCGAGTTCCTGAAGGGGAACGTCTCCAGGTTACGAATGTAACCATGGTTCCCCGAGGGAACGAGACGCTGCATCTCAGTGCCATACTTCCGGCATCCCTGTGAGCGCTTGTTTCATTCCTAGAAGCTGACACCGGTTCCACTGCACGTGCTTTTAAAGCTTCCTGGTCGCAACGTCACCTGCCCATGATGTCTCGCCCATCTATTGGACTGATTTCATATGTGATTCAGAGCATGATCATGCTGAGGGCATTCCCAAATTTTTTTCAGATGCAGCGTCTCATTCCCTCAGGGAACCATGGTTAAATTCGTAATCTGGAGACGATATTTTGAATTATCTTTATTTTAATATTTTCTATTTTAGTTTTATCAATTTTGTTATGCGCTTTTGTCATTTTTTTTGAAAACATTCTATTTAGTTTTAGTTTTATTTCGTTTTTAGTACTTTTAATCAGTGTTGTTTTAGTGTCATTGATACTATTATAGTTTTTGTTGATTACATTAAATTAGATTAGTTTTATATATTCTGTTTTCACATTAATTTTAAAGTTTTGGTAATTTTGTTGTATCATTTTTATTTTTATTTTTCCAAAAATATGTTTATAAAGTTTTGGATAAAGTATGTTTATAAAGTTTTATTATGAAGTTTTATTTTAGTTTTGGGTATTTTCAATTTTAGTTATTTTAGTACATAACTAAATTAAACTAAACTATGTACTTAATTAAATGAACAAAAATGAGAAATGATGCCTTGACAATTAGTTAAAATAGAATTTATTTAGTTTTTATATTTTATTTTATTTCAGTTAATGTTTATTTTTTAATGTCAAGTAATGAAAGTGTTCTTATGCAGTATTAGTTTTAGTTAACAAATACATTTCAACTTAAAATTATTTTATTGCAGTTACAACGTTTAGCATTTTTTAAGTTTTTCATCTAATATTTATATTTGGTGTTGTTTTAAGCAATTGGAGAGAAAAAAATCTAGCCTATTGTGCAAATTCATTTATTTCATGAATCCATTTTTGTCTGTTTCTGTACCAATAAATCTGGACATCACTGTGGTTATGTGCACAACCAAACAAAAACTATTTGCAACACATTTTCAACAAAATAAATGATCTATTTGTAGAAAGTATCTACTTTCCTAAATACGAATTTTCATATTTCTCTTATTGTTTTGTGGTTTAACTTCAGACCAGAGGACATGATGAAGTTGTCTGCTGCTCCTTATTAATGGACATTCTGCAGTATCACAGCCCTAGGCAACAGAGGGAACTCAGATGCAGCACTCGATGCCACGTGAAGTGTTTCACGTATAAAATTTATTGGTGCACCTCCTCTTTGTCAATAATACCTGCCAATGTGAATGTCAGGGCAATGCATGAGAATCCATTAGACACGGCAGCAGTAGCCTGACCTGTGGCATCGCATTCAGTCACAGTAGCCTACTGTCATTTATTTTAGGTCTCCAAAGGAATATTCGGAATGGAGTGTTAAACCTAGATCATAAAACACGAGAGACTGCCACGGGCCATTTTGACATCAGCCTCTGATAAAGCTCCTCAGACACGTGTAGCTCTTGTGAAAACCCACAATCTGCAGTGAAAGAAGGGTTTTGGCGATTTTGTCAAGAGGACACAACAAAGGTGAGTTATTCTGACAAAACCTTTTTAAGGACATGTTCATGTCATATGTCACCCCAAAATGACAAAACATCATTAAAAGAATTACCTTACATAAATCTATCTATCTATCTATCTATCTATCTATCTATCTATCTATCTATCTATCTATCTAATCTAAAACCATAAAATTTTAAATAAACTGAAATAAAATATTAAAAATATAAACAAATATTTAAACTACTTGCCAAGGCAACATTTCTCATTTATTTTAACTTGACACTAAAATAACTAAAGCTACAACTGAAATAAAAATGTATAAAAAAATTATATAGACAAATGAATGAAATAATAAAAATGATAAAAACCAAGTATTCAAAATATTATTCAAAACTATAATAATACCTCAATGATATCGCACGGGTAGCAGTGCAGTTATAAGCGGGATAATGCACGGCTAGCTGTGAACCACCCGACGCAAAGCGGATACCATGGTCATTTGCCAGCATTGACAAGTTAAAGCTGTTTATGTTTGCAGTGCAATATTTGACTGGAAGGGTAAAAATTAGTTACGGCTGGTTAGCTCTAGCATTCTGCCCGCTTCAAATCAGAAACATCTTTGTGTTTTTATCTTGGTCTGTTTACCTAATTTTTGTTCGCTTATTGATTGATTGTTTCATTGAACCTAACTGATTGTTTGCTGCCTGCCCTGAACTTTGCCTGTCTTGTTTTTTTTATTTTACTTCGCTCTATAATAAAAGCCTTGCATTTGGATCCTCAACTCCGTCGTCACGCCTCCTACATTACAGAATCATCAGCCACACCCGGATCCAGTGGCTTTATTCAGTGATCCAGGCCAGCCATGAATCCAGCAGACTTTTTGCAAGATGGCGGCCAAGCCAAAGTCTGCTCACGTCATGCCTGCCAAGCCAGAGCCTGCTCACGTCAAGCCTGCCAAGTCAGAGCCTGGTCCCGTCAAGCCTGCCAAGCCAGAGCCTGTTCACGTCAGGGCAGCTGTTCCAGAGTTTCGTTCCATCATGGCCGCTGTTCCAGAGCCTCATCCTGTCAGGGCAGCCGTTCCAGAGTCTCGTCCTGTCATGTCTACCACTCTTAGTAGGACAAAGTCAGTCCCAAGGCATTCGAGACTGGCATCCAACATGGAAGATCCACCGCTGGTGTCTGTACGAGCTGCGGGTTACACCACAAACTCTACGCTCCCGAGCCACGCTGACTCTGTGCTCTCAAGCGACACTGTTTCAACGTTCTCAAGTGACTCTGTTTCAATGCTCTCAAGCCTGCCGACCGCTACTCACTCCAGTTCCCCTGGCACAGCACCATCAGTCTCGGAAATAGACAATATGCTCTCTGTACTGCCAGTTATGGCTACGGCCATTATCTGTGTTTGGGTAGCACACACCACTGTAGTTTCGCAAAAGGTGGCAGCCTCTGCTGCAGAACCTCCCGAGGTGGTGGCACCCACTCTAGTCCCAGAGTCCGCTTCTGTCCCAGAGCCCGCTCCAATCCCAGAGCCTGCTCCAGTACTCGAATCCACTCCTGAGCCCGCTCCAGTCCCAGAGCCTGCTCCAGTACTTGAATTTATTCCAGAGCCGGTTCTAGTTCCAGAATCCATTTCTAAGTCTGCTCCAGAGTCCACCCCAGCTCATGAGTCTGCTCCGGCCTACGATTCTGATCCAGAGTCCACTCTAGTCTCCGAATTCATTCCCGAGTCTGTTCCTGTCCCCGAATCCACTCCTGAGCTAACTCCGGTCCCTGAGTCCACTCCAGCTCCCCCAGAGGTGGCAACTTCCATTGCAGAACTTCTCATGGTGGTGACGTCCGCCTCTCCTCCTCCTGAGACAGCAGCAGTATTCTTCCCTGAGCTCTCTGTGGTCCCAGTCACTTCTGATTCCACCACGGACACTATTTTTTAACTTTCCCTGTTTCCCGATTTCTCTGTTATGGCCGTAAGGGCTATCTATGAAGTCTCTGTGTTTTGTGAAGCTCCTGTTGCCACTGCTGCAGAACCTTCAGAGGTGGCGGCACCCACTGCAGAGCCTCCAGGTGAAGCTGCAGGTGTTTGCTTCAGCTCCTCTCAAGACAGATCTATGAACTCTGTCTGTCCTGATGAGGTCATGGAGACCATCAGTGAATCCCCTGTCAAACCCGTCTCTGTCCTCAAAGCCAGTCATGAACTATCAGCCCTGCCTGATACGGTCACAAAGACTGCCTCTGAACTCACTCAGTGTCCTGTCCCGACCAAGGAGGCCTTTGCTGAACTCTCTGATTACCCTGTCATGACCAAGGAGGTCGATTCTGAACTCTCATCCTGTCCTGAACTAGCCACTGAGGCCATCTATGAACTTGCGTCCTGTCCTGAACCGACCACGGAGGTCGTCTATGAACTTGTGTCCGGTCCTGAACCGACCAGGGATGCCACTAATGAAGTGTCCACCCATCTTGTTACGGCCGCAGAGGCCGCTGTTAACCTCTCTGTGCCTTTTGTTTCAGTCATGCCAGATTCGCTCTGGTGGTCCTCTGATCTGCCCACCCCTCCTGCTCTGCTCTGGTGCTCTTCAGCTCCACCTGCTCCATCCTGGTGGTCTTCAATGCCGTCTGCTCCACTGTGGTGATCTTCTGCCCTGCTCTGGTGGTCCTCTGCTCCACCTGCTCGGCCATGGGGGTCTTCAGCTCTGCCTACTCCTCTCTGGTGGTCTTCAGCTCCACTCTGGTGGTCCCTTTTTAGCTCCGCCCTGGCACCCTGCTTTGCCAGCTCTGCCCTGGCACCCTGCTCTGTCAGCTCCACTCTGGCACCCTGCTCTGCCGGCTCTGCCTTGGCTAACTGCTCCGCCGGCTTTACCTCAGTCCCCTGTTCCTCCCCTTCCTCATGGACCTGGCCCTCCATCCCTCCCCCTGTTCCGCCTCCGCTCCACCTCCCTCCTGGACTCTGGTCTGTTAGGGAGCATCTGGAAGCCACTCCTTAGGGAGGGGGCTCTGTCACGATCACCCACTGGAGTGCCCATGAGCTCCACCAGAGGGCACTCCATCCCTGACTTTTACCATTCACCCAGGACTCCATTTCTCACAATCCTTTGCCCAGACTCATCAACACTCATTACCAGTTCACAGCTGCCTCATATTAGAAGGACTATAAAAGTTGCTTAGATATCACTGTTTTCTGGTGTTTGACCCTGCCTGTTTTATACATACTGTACTCCATCGTCACGCCTCCTACGTTACACTTAGACGATCTTCAGGGAGAAGACAACTGTTTCCATGGTACACTCCTACCCACACTGGAGACATTGATTTTCAAGTCCTTGGAATTGAAGAGTGGCCTGCAAATTGTAGTTGACCTTCCAGAGGCAGTTGTCATGGTAAGAACTTTAATTTCTTTAAATATCTTTAACCAGTCACCCAAGAATTGCATTTTATTTATTTGGATGGATGGAAAATTAATAACTTTATATTCTAGGCTTTACAGTTATGATCTGCGACTTGAGATGATGGACCTGCAAAGCGTTTTGTTGTAAAGAAATAGTACAGGCTAGTCATACACAAATATAATTTTAAACTGATAATAATGTATGTTGCTCTGTGTGTGTGTGTGTGTGTGTGTGTGTGTGTGTGTGTGGATATAGACAAATAGTATTATATGTTCTTTGCATCCTTATTATTTCTGGCAATCAAAACAATATTTGCAGAGGTGCTGGAATATGAGGATGCGATCTTGGCTGCTGTGACCCTGCCCAAGTTCAAACCACGTTGGCTTCGGATTCAGGACAGGAAGGACAAGGCCAAGGCAAGTCTGCTGGCAGAGTGCCGGAAAATTGTCCTAGACCAAGACCAGCAAGCAGGTACCAGCACATCAACACGCCACCTTAGCAGAGACTCAGCCATAGAGGATTAATTATTTTCCTTTGAGGATGAGGATGACACCTCTTCTACTGCTGAAAGTCAAGTCACAGATTATTTCAAATCAAGAGCACAAGAGATAGACTCTCTCTCTCTCTCTCTCTCTCTCTCTCGCTGGATGTGCACTGATAAAGAAACTCAGATATAATGCAGCCACTTCGTCCAGTGCCCCAGTAGAGAGACTAACTTGTCATCACTCCAAAGAGGAATAGGTTCTCTGACCAGAAGTTTGAGAAGCTTCTGGTTTTGAAATACAACCACTGGTTTAAAGGAGTCATATGATGCGTTTTAAATTTTCAAAGAAAGAAGGCGTAACTTTTTGTCTCACTGTAGTTTTGCGTGAAGATGCTGTGTGCTTCGTTGTGAAAGCGAAACTACTTTGTTTGGTCTTCCAAAAGAGGACGATATCCACTTCGTCATGCCTAGAGCTTATCTGTGCTGGTCGCTGAGAGAATACATCAACTTTCACCGTGGACAAAGCGAGGAGTCCAGCCCGGGGTCCATCACATGTGGTTGCCGCTCATTTGTCGCATCCCGCCGGGCACGCTGCTCTCGACTCCGCCGCCTCAGCTCACTCTATCCCGGCCTCAGCGCACGCTAAGCCGGGGCTTCGGCTCACGCTAGCCCGGCCTCAGCGCACGCTAAGCCGGGGCTTCAGCTCATGCTAGGCCGCTGTGTTTTCTTTGTGAAAGCGAAACTACTTTGTTTGATCTTCCAAAAGAGGACACGACTACAAATCAGTGGTTAAGTTGTATTTACCACACTGTTCCAGAACAGTTTAACCCAAATATCCAGATGTGTGCAGCACATTTTATGGAGGACTGTTTACTGATCCTGGTAGAGTTGACTACAATGCCGGCAGTTCTGACTCACGTAAGTACGTTTTAATTTAAAGGATTTGCCACTGATGATTCAAACGCGAGTTTTGGGCAGTGTAGAGTAGCACTTGTTGTTTGTCATTTCTCCGATCACAAATGCAGACAGAGTTTTATGTTTACGCGGCGAGATGCAATGCAGTTGGGGAGAATGGGGAGAATGGATGGATGGCTAGGATGGTTAGATGACTGGGTTGGGTGGATGGATTGCTATGGTGGAAGCATGGATGGATGAGTGTTAAGAAGGAGTGTATGTATGTATGAATGTATGTATGTCCAGGAGCTAAAGTTGGATTTATGTGGCAAATGACAGTGATTTGAATAGAGGCAGAGGGGATTACAATAGTGCCCTCTGCTTGACCTCTACTGTGAGAGGAGCACTTGTGTGATTTGTATATGGCCAATGGTCAGAGATGGCCATGGAGTTTTATTTTTATTTTATTAGCTGTTTACATATCAGTTTCATATTTTTAATTTGCACTACAAAGAGTGTATATTTTTATTATTATAATTCTTTTGGTACATTGTTCAGTATTATATTGAGAGCACTTCGTTAAACTGTTTACATTTGTGAGGAAGAAAATACTTCAAGTAGGCTACAGTATGTCTACCAGTTGTGAAGTTGTGTGACAGTTTTATAATTTTAATTTGCACTACAAAAAGTGTATGTATATTTTTTTATTATATATTTTTTATTTTTGGTACATTTCTTAAAAATATATATTTTTAGATTTATTTGTTGGCCAGTTGTGGTCTGTGCAATAAATATGAAAAGTTCTAAACCATCTATTGTGTTTTATTGTTCCACTAGTAATACTATTTACAATAATATATTGAATTTGATAGGTGTCTCTCACATTGTCCCACAGCAACATTAAAATAGTGTAGATTAGTGTACAATGTTTTATAACATTAATTTATTCTATTTAGTGTCCATTTCATTCATTTAACATATTTAATATTTGGGGCATCCAAGTTATTTGACATATTTGAAAAAAAAAATTAATAAGTAACACAATAGTTATGTTCCCTGGTAATTAGTTACTTTTATAATGATGTAATTTAGTTACTATTTGTGAGAAGTAACTAGTAACTATATTAACTAGTTACTATACTAGTAACTAATTACTTTTTTAAAGTAACATGCCCAACACTGCTCATGAAAGGGTCAACAAGCCACATATTTGAAGTCTAAGCAAGTACATTCTCACCCCAAAAACTCAAAAATAATATTCAAATTATAATGTATTTGGGCATCTGCCATGACACTCGTTGTAAGAAATACCGCAAGCGCAGTGATACAAACGGTGAAACGGTTGGAGCTCTGTTATCACTAGAACATTGCTTTCCTCTCAGCCAATCAGATTCGAGGACCAGAAAGAACTGTCATAGATAGATAGATAGATAGATAGATAGATAGATGTAATAAAATGTCTACAGTAGACACATTACGGTCATGAAATAATGTCCCAAAAATGTCACTGAAATAATGTCCCCGTGCATTTTTTTTAATTTACTTTGTTTATTTATTTATTTCAATTTTTTTTTTATTTTGGAGTAAAATGTTTCCTCAACAGGTTGCAGAGTGATTAATCTCAAAATTCAGTTCTGCTGCTGGGAGTTTGAAGTGAGAGCTCTAGCCTAATCTTAATTAAAGGGCTTGATGGCAAAAGGCAGGGTTGAAAAATCCTGCAAAAACAGATTCATTCACAAGGAGAGAGGGGGGAGAGAGAAGAGAGAGAGACAATAGGTTCCTAAATCCCATGCCGGATTGATCTTCCAGCTTGTGGTTTTGGGAATTCTGTAATTATGGCTGAACTGAGTCCTTGACCCACTTTCAGTCTTATCTCTCTTCCTCTTTCTCGTTTTCTTTCTTTCTATCTGTCATTCTTTCACTCTGTTTCTCAGTCCATATTTTTCCTCTCTTTCATGCCATCTTTCTCCTGCTCGCTAAACTGCTGAAGAAGTGCATGTGAGTAGAAATGGCAGTGTAGATGCTATTATGTGAGACGGAGATGGCCGAGTGCCCAGGGTGTTTAAACTGTGAGAGCTCGCTCCAGTGGGGAGAATTACTCTCCTGCTCTCTCTCAACTCCACATTTGGCACCTGAGGCCTACCCTGGCAAAGCACCTCATCATCCCCCCAACCCAGACACAATTCAGCATGGCTCCACAATCCGCTCTGTAATACGGGACCTCAACCCCCGCTGGCTTCAGAAAACCAGTGGCCATCTAATATTTCATTTGATCCATTTCTTCTTGGAGATGAGAGTCGATATTCTTGCTCAGGGCAATGTTTGGTGGTAAAGATGTTCTCTTTTAATACTACACAGCAAATGTGCCGAGACAGAAGACTCAGCTCATCTTTATTCCGGCCAAAGAGGGATGGGCTGAAGGGGTGAAATGCTTGAGTTTATCTCTCAACCTCATTTCACGTGTCATACTGGATAATTTGTATGCCATTGCAGAGTTTGTTATTCAGAACGGTGTTGGAAAAACCTTTATAAGACACCAAGGTCTTCTTCTTTTAGAATTTTAAAGTTTTTTTTTTTTTTTTTTTGGATTGTAACATTATTTTAATGACAATTAAGCATATTTCCACCAGAATTCTTAATAGTATAAATTACATTTTTATATTCTTATATATATATATATACACACACTGTTTTTTAATAGCATATACAATAAATGAATACATGATAAATATGATAATTACCATTTGAATATTTTATATATTAAATAATATTTTTGGTCTTATGGTAATGAGAACAGTCTTGCTGGTCTTTTTTAAGCAAAATATAATTTTTGATTTTGGGATAAAAATCAATCTGGACAGGTTCTTGGCAGGTTTCACCTGTAAACATTATTCAGTTATGTATAAAACATATATGATTTTTCACTCTGAAGCATTAACTAATGCCGGGTTCAGACTACACAATATTTTTGTCGGCCACGATAGTCACTGTGTCAGATTACACTATTTTGACTCCTAAAATCTTGTCATGTCATGGACAAGAAACATGTCAGACTACACGATGCTTCCCGACCATCCATCGCGTGCCATCTTTAACGATGCGCGTGATGTCATCGAGAAGGCGGAACTAGCGATTGACGTCCAAAAACAAGAGTGTAAACATTGCTGAAGTGCTTCCACTATAGTTCGCCAGCATTTTTCTTTCTTTGTTCTGTCGTGGTAGTCCCTCGATGACACATCATACAGGCAGGAGTACTGTTGCCACAGCTCCACAAACCTTTCCTCCATCTCATAATTCCACCTAGCAGCACCATCATCTCTCTTTCGTTTTGCCATGTTTGAAACCTGTGTATGAAAGAGCTTCTGTGCTGCTATTGGTCAACGTCACCAATGTGACAGAACTCGTTGTGGACGACGGAAAAAAAATTCAAAATGCTAGTCTTTCTGTCGTGATGTCGTGAAGCATCGCAGACGCAGAATCGGTTGTCGTCCACTATGACACACTACATGTGCTGAAACGGTGGAATCTTGCGTCCCGACGCCCATTGTCGTTTACGAATCCCCACGACACCATACGTCAAGCAAATCGTGGCAAAATCGGGATAAAATCGTGTAGTCTGAACCGGGCATAACAGATTCAGCAGAGTTTCCACATTCAGGTTGCTAAGGTAATCAACAGGCAAAGACTGCTCAGCTCCAGGAGCCATACATCACTGTCACCCCACTGCTCCTATCCATGACGACCATTCCAAAGCACTACCACGGCTCCTCAACCAGGATGCTAATCACATCTACATCCTCCTTCTACACATCCTGAAAAAATGGTCATGAATGCATCTGTTAACACATCTGTGGTGTCTCGTAGACATGGAACCAGTTGAGGGCTAGTGTATAAACATCTTTTGTTTAGTCCCTCTATCAAGGTTTGTTTGATTATAATGATTTTATCTCACAAAGAAAGCATATTTCTATAGGATCCTGAATCATCTGCACAAGAATCAGTTGCAATAAATGATTGGAGTATTTCCCATCATCTTATCTCATGCCTTGCCTAATGTTTGCTGGTGTTGACTCCTATGATAAACTGCTTGCAATGGTCCTCATTTGTAAGTCACTTTGGCTAAAATCATCTGCAAAATGCAGATGAACAGCGCTGGCAGAAAAAAAGCACCTTGTATTTTCCTCTATGTGGACATTGACAGCGCCATTTATTCTCTTCTGATCATGCTGATACGAAGCCTGATGTTGCTGCTGTTTTCAAGGCATCATGCAACATTCTTTTGCGATTAAAAAGCACCTTGGAGTGCAAGTCCATCTGGAGAGATAAAGATGCCTGGGCTGTGGGAGAGAGATTTTCAAAGCCAGTTAAATATACTGTTGGTTTTAATTATATTTTCAGTTCAACCACAAACCAACAAAGACATGCTAACTTTTGTGATCACTTTATAGGATGTTCTTTCAATAGTTATTAGACAGCTAATAGCTAATAGATAGATCTAGATCCATATACGCCATAAAAATTTTATAAATACATACATAAAATACATCTAAGTTGTAAATAAAAAAGGATTATTGAAGTACTTTTTACTATAAATAGTATTCAAATAGCAAAATAAGTTAGAAAGTTAATCCAATGTGATAATTGCTGTTTCTTTGTAATTATTTGTGAAATTTACTAGGAATTTCGGAGTGAAAATTGTTTCTACCCCAATTTTTTTCAGTGTATATATATATAGATAGATATGAAAATTGATTAACTTTATTATCATGTTGCTAAGAACTGCTACAAATATACTCTATTTGTTAGATAGGTAAACACACAAATAAATAATCGGGACTACTTTTGAATGTGACTTATTTCTGTTTGACTAGGAAAGAGTCTTATGCATCGAACTGCCAGTGTTCAATGTGATTTTAATTTATTTAAATAATTTATTAATTATTATTGAGCTTCTTGTGGAAAGACATTGTAATTCTAAATCAATCAGAGCATCAAGGAAATGCCACTTAATTAATCTTTTCGCTTCATTAGATTTTCCGATCATAATTAAATGATTAGTAGATATGAACTTTGTATTCAAGAGTACCACTCATGCATTTCTCCCCACTGACAATTAAAACGGCACAATGATCTCATATGATTGGAGGGAGATTGAGGACAAGAGCTTGAGTGTTTCTTAAGATAATATTAGATGAAATTCATAAATGGGAGTGTGTGGTTTGCGTGCCTGTGCGCAAATGGTTTAAGTGTCATTATTCTTTTCATGCATTTTCAAATTTCATGGAATATTGCAAAGAATCTCGCCAGCCTGGTGCTTTTGCAGCCCCCTGCTAGCAGTTCTGCTCTCTTCACAGAGACACCCAGCTTTTTCCATTCCTCTTGCAGGGTTTCATGTGCACCGGAGTGTGCCCTACAGCCGTGGTGTCTTAATGTCACAGGAAAATTAAAAAACTTCTACCTTCGCCAAGGGCCTGAATCTTAATATAGACCCTTGCTAAATCCAATACACTGGAGATTGTGACCAGGTGACAGGGTCAGTAAGTACTGATTAAAACTGAGGTCAGTAAAAGATGGCCTTTGAAAAAGAGTGAAGAAGGAGAGCAAAATACTGAGGTGCTCCTTTAACAAACACTTAAGGCTGCTCTTATGGCAAGCGCTTTTTTCATGCAACCCAGACCTCTAATAATTGCTCAGATATGTTTTGATGTCCTCTCTGGTCTGATATTGCTAAAATATTGTAGGGAATGAATAATTGTAGTATTGAGTGGTATTGTAAAGGCTAGGTTAAACTTGCTTTCTCTGTCTGAACCGGGTCTGAACAGATATTGGATGATGTTTATTTGGCTCAAGGGCTCAATAAGGAAAACGCCCATTTTAAATATTTTCACAGCAGTCAAATAAGGCATTGTTTGTGACATTGTCAGTAAGTGTTGCTATTAGCATACACTCTTAAAAATAAAGGTGCTTCACGATGCCATAGAAGAACCTTTTTGTCTAAATGGTTCCATAAAGAACCTTCAACATCTGAAGAACCTTTCTGTTTCACAAAAGCTTCTTTGTGGCGAAATAAGGTTCTTCAGATTACAAAAAGGTAAGAAAGAGATGGTTCTTTAAAGAACCTTTGACTGAATGGTTCTTTGTGGAACCAAAAATGGTTCTTCTATGGCATCGCTTGAAGAACCTTTTGAAGCACCTTTATTTTTAAGAGTGTAGATTAAACATTTTAGTGTAAAGATTAGAGTAACGATTACCTAAAGTCACTGATGGCTAATGGCCTTCCATAAAAAAGAAAATCCACAAACACACAAGGGCACAATTTCCTCCCGGATCTTTCTGCTTTTGTTTTCTTCATGAGAAAAGAGGTATGAATTTATAGTGGAGTGGAGTATAGAGTTTATAGTGGTCTGAAAATAAAATAATAAAATTAAGAAAACAGATGACATCAATTTATATAATAACATTAATCAACAGCATTACTTTATATACGCTTAACAGATTATTGCATTCAATAGTTTGAAATATGCCACTTATATAGGCTACACTTTGATTTATATGGATTTACTAGTAACACTAGTATTTCGATTAAATGGTTCATATTAAATATTAATATGAAATCTGTTAGAGAGTTAATTTCATTATCACCTGTCATAAATACAAATGTTAATAAAACATGATTACTTTAATTTGTATTAGGCCTGGGCGATAAAACTTATTGATATTTATCGACGGTACACCTTCTTCGATAACGATATAAAAAATGTTCGATTTAGTGCACGATATAGGCACGTGCTCTGAGTGACGCAGACAGCACACACAAACATGAACACATGCTGGAATTAGTGCTGTGACTGCCTGTGATTGTGAATAAAAAAATGAATATATAGTCGAATTTAAAATAAAAATTTGCATTTGAATGCAAAAATAGTACAATCCAATGTTAGATGTGCGTCAGGGAGCGTCATCAGTGGAGCACGAGATGTGGTGATGATGAAGCAAGTGACCTTGTTGCATTTGAATGTTTTGCTAGTCTAGCCCACGAGACGCGCAGTTGCTGCATTATGCATTCAAAATATTAGAGAAATATAGAAGCTCAATGCGGAGAAGATCTTGACACCCCCCCCCCCCCCCCCACACACACACACACAAATAGCAATTTTTGACCAATAAAATAAAAGATAAAAAAGAACCTATTTGTTATAAAAAAAAAAAATTCATGATCTTTTAAGATTTCATCAATTTCCATTTAATTATTTTAAGCCATCTTGTGGCCCCTTGAAAGCATACTGAGGCCCCCTGGGTCCTAGCCGCCTGGTTGTGAACCACTGAACTATACTATGCAATTATATACTATTTTTTTCAACAAATATTATTAATTATGTAGCCTTGATGGAGACTAACAATCAAACTGGAGAAAATAGCACTGAATAAAATATGTGACTATTGTTTGATGACAAACTGTTTAAACTCTTAAATTCAATAATTAGCCTTGTGTGTTTTAACCTCAGATCACAGGGAGGCCTGTGCCGTAAAACAGCTTTTCATCCGCTCCCTCCTTCACGAGCCCATGAAAACATGCGTCTCCGCTCGGTGATTTCTCATTCTAAATACACAAATTTAGATATAGGTACAAAAAGAGCTTTAAACCACGCTGACAACGGCGGAGATGAAAGAGAGTAATGCGTCAGAAGCCTGTCAAACCGTTGACATTCCCGCGTTATCTGCGCAGCGCGAGCTGCTGGAAGCGCGGGAATCGCATGTCTGTTGACCGATTCGCCGCCGCTCCCCTCCTTTCTGTCCTTTCTTCTGACAAGCAGTGGGAGAAGAAGGAGGAACAGAGACGATGATGTGTTTTTCTTCTTCGTCTTCTGTTTCTATGGTGAAATAAGGATAATTTCTTGGAAACCCAAGACAAACAATGTGGTTTTGTGCCGCGCTGTGTGTCTGCACATTTTCTCTGAGGCCTTATCATTAAGGCTAATGTTGATTAACTTCTAACAGCTCTCTCTCTCGCTCTCAAGCTGTGTGTATTTGGAGTTTGGCAATGCACTCCTCCTAATTGCTAATATGTGTAAAATCTCATTTATATTATTTTTAGGTTGCACTAAATAACTGTCAACCTCACAGGGGGATGTGAAAATGTCAATCGAGTCAGTCTATTGGAATTTGTTTTATTTTTTATTTTTGTGCCTGTTTTATATCCCATCAATTTGTTCAAATCGCTAAGTGGATAGCAATAGAATGCTTGGCACAATGCACCAGAAACACAGGTCAGAAAAACATGTCTGTCTGCACACTCTTAAGTGAAACTGCATTGTTTGATGCAGCATTTCAGGCTCTTTTCATTCTGATGAAACTGGCCAACAGCTGTTTCCCTGTGTGTGAACATCAGTGCTTTTAACTTCATTCTAATATGCTGATTTGCTACTCAAGAAACATTTCTTATTATTATCAAAAGTTTTGAAAAAGTTTTATTCAGCAAATATGCATTAAATTGATCAAAAGTGACAGTACATACATTTATAATGTTACAAATAATAATATTTTATATGCATCTATTGTCACAAAATATTTCTGTTTTTCTATTCATCAAACTCTCCTGAAAAAAAGATCACAAAAATATTGAGCAAAAACTTATTTCAACATGGATAACGATAAGAATCATTATTAATAATTGAGCCCCAATAATATGTAACTGATAATAACTGAGCAAGGATCATGTGACACTGAAGACTGAAGTAATAGCTGCTGAAAATACAGGTTTGCCATCCCTATTTAAAATATATCAAGATAGAAAACTGTAATTTTACATTGTAATATTTCACAATATAACTGTTTTTACTGTAACTTTGATCAAATACATGCAGTCTGGTGAGCATCAGAGACTTCTTTCAAAAACATAATATTAATTATGCCAAACATTCGATCAGTTGTGTACATAAAAGTACCTAACCGAATGTGCATTTTAAGCAGAACAGTTTGAGTGATTTTATGTTTGCATGTAGATAAGTCAAATTACTTAACAATGCCACCATTACATCTCAAAAGAGTTGTATTTCTGTTTATGGCTTTGTGATTATGCAGTGGAAACTAGAAACTCAAGACTGTTTCACTCAAAAAATGGTCTGTGCAGTTTGACTTTGTGGAATCCCTCTTGTAGACTGAGTGTTAATCGCTTTTCTCTCTCTCTATCTTTTCCCCCGTATCTCTCTCCATCCTTTTCTCTGTTGCCAAAGGTTTTAAAACTCATTACTATTTCCCGGATTAGAAATCAGAACTCAAACAATGAAGTTAATTATGACAGATGATTACTGCAGTAACAGCTCTGGAGTTCTTAAGACATTAGTTGCCAGGGGGGTACTATGTAGCGTGCTGCAACCGAAACCAGCTCAGAAAACCCACGGTGAACTATTTTGCTTTTTGTAAAAAGAAAACACAAAAAAATCTGTTAGAAGCAGCGCATAATTAAAAATGATATTTTATTCACAATAAGAAAAGAAGTCTGGAGAAGTAGGCTATAGTCGGTACTCTCCATTTGATCCAGAAATGGCTAATATGTGTAAAATCTCATTTATATTATTTTTAGGTTGCACTAAATAACTGTCAACCTCACATGGGGATGTGAAAATGTCAATCGAGTCAGTCTATTGGAATTTGTTTTATTTTTTATTTTTGTGCCTGTTTTATATCCCATCAATTTGTTCAAATCACTAAGTGGATAGCAATAGAATGCTTGGCACAATGCACCAGAAACACAGGTCAGAAAAACATGTCTGTCTGCACACTCTTAAGTGAAACTGCACTGTTTGATGCAGCATTTCAGGCTCTTTTCATTCTGATGAAACTGGCCAACAGCTGTTTCCCTGTGTGTGAACATCAGTGCTTTTAATGGGAAAAAGGCAAAGAAAAACACAGTGAAATTCTCAATTATGATTAAACTTTCAAACTTGATGTAATAACAACACTGATGCTGGAAAACGTGATCAAGCATCTTTCCTGTCAGTCTCATGTCCTCACGACCTGACAGAGAATTTCTGTCTCATAATTGGGAAAGCCAGAGGGGTAAACTCAATAGAGATGCATCATAGAGCTGTTTCTCTCTCTTTTCTCTCTCTCTCTCTCCCTCTCTCTCATGTATCTTCCTATCTTCCTCCTTCTTATTTTTTAATTGATGGAGGAAAAAAAACTAACCTGGCAGCTGTGGTTGACAAAAATTCACAATAAAAGAGGGAAGTTTGAGGTATCATGTACACTCGCAAAAATAATGTTCGCTGCGATGCCATGTAAGAAATATTTGGGGTTCTCCAAAGAACCTTTCAGTGAATAGTTCTTAAAAGAACCATTTTTTTTCTTAGTGTGAAGAACATTTAAACAATCTAAAGAATCTTCATCCACTATAAAGAATCTTTTTGTGCTATGAAAAGGTTTCATGGATGTTAAAAGGTAAAATAAAAGGAACCATCAATACCAATAATGTATCTTTATTTAGAGTGTAGTTACAGTTAAAGTTCATGTTGACTTTACATGCAATTTAAAATTTACATACAAAAATGAATACCATTTGGTTACACTTTACTTGAAGGGGTGTGCATAAGACTAACATGACACCTTCATAATCATGACATGACACATGTCATGAATATGAAGGGTTGTTATGCATATTTATGACAACTGTCATTAAGTGTCATTCGCTCAGTTATGTAATTTTTAATGCAAAGATGACATTGTTTGAGATGTCTTTGTTATGGGCTATGGTTAGGGGTAAGGGTAGGGGTAGGGTTTGGTCAAATAAAGTCATATTTGCATTAAAAATGACATAACTGAGCGAATAACACTTAATGACAGTTGTCATAAACATGCATAAAACCTCCTTCATATTCATGACATGTGTCATGTCATGATTATGAAGGTGTCATGTCAGTCTTATGCACACCCCTTCAAGTAAAGTGTTACCATACATTTTTTCACAGTTAGTTAACTAGCCTAATTAACTAATTATGGTTCAGATGGTTACTAATTTTTTTACAGTGTACTGCGTTTTAAAAATAAATGATCCTTATTTACCTAATATGGTTCAACGAAGAACCTTTAACATTCATGGAACCTTTCCATTCCACAAAGAGCCTCATAAAAAGGTTCTTTGGTGAACCAAATAATGGTTATTTTATGGCACTGCTGCGAAACATCCTTTTGCAAACTTATGTACAACCCTATTTTTAAGATTGTAAACCAAGATCATTGTGTTTCTAAAAAAAGGCCTGTTTTAGTTTAGTTATATATACACAGTGGGGGGAAAAAAAGTATTTAGTCAGCGGGGTAGGGTTGGTGTAGGGCAATAGAATATACGGTCTGTACGGTAAAAAAAACATTACGCCTATGGAGAGTCCTCACAAGGATAGCTGACCAGACGTGTGTGTGATTTGTATGCATGGCTGTTGTCCATGTAATCCAGATCTACCTTTTACCACTAACACTGAATTATAAAAGGCTGTTATTAACAGAATATTTTTCCACACAAATACTAGTTCATCCACTCTCATCTTTTTCATTTAGTTAATAATCCTCTTACTTTCAAACATTGATAGTGCCATGCAGTAGGTCACAAGGCATTGAGACTCAGGTTTTGTCATGGTAATGAAGCAAGTGAGACAGCTTTTAATTCACAGACGATGAGCTTATATCTTTTAACAGACATAAGAGGTTTTGTTTTTTTAAACCATTCAAATCAGCAAGTCACTTTTTTCATCTGTTATTATTTCCATGTATATCTCCCCTGGCTTAAAGGATGCCTTTCATATTTCATTGAGTGTTAGCCTGGATTTGTTGAGATCATTACCATTACAACAGCCCCTGCAAAAATACTCTTATCTCCTCCCATGATATTAAATGATGATATATATCATCTCATTCAGTTATACAGACGTGATACTATCAGTGTGCCAAGAGTTTATAACGATGAAGTAGAAAAGAAATAAAATTTTATTGGCACTTAAGTCTGTTTGGTTATGTGGGAGAGGGGGAACTAGATAGTTATGCCCACTCACATTTATACTTCCCTAAAAGAGTAACTTTATTTTGTCATACAAATCTGACAAAAAAAAGTTATTTTATTTTAACGTCAAGTTTCTATACTGTAAAATGACACGTATACTTAGACCACGTGGTTAAAAACACAGCAGGCCTATAGTGTATGTGATAAAATAACCTATCAATATATTATAGGTTCAGTCTATTATATCTTTCATCAGTCTTCGTGTCATTTAATTAACTGCCCTGACATTATGGGAACTGCTAGTGGCTGAGTTTAGAGTAACTTTGTAATGCATCATAAAATGTACTAGAAGCATGTCTTATCGAAGTCATGGAAGCTGAACTACTTAAAATAACCACGATAATTACTCCATCAGTAGTGGTATATCGCATTTCTAGCCCTTAGAATTGAGTGTACGCTGCTAACTAACTGCGCTTGTTGTTAGAACAGATGGTTTGAGAGGAAGTTCTGTGCGCATGCGCAGTGCGCCTGCATAGAGCTGAAGCGCAGACAGCACTATGAGAGACGAGAGAGAGAAACACCCCTTATCTGTAG